AGACTTATTGCTAGCCATTACCAAATCCATTTAAACCAGTGAATCTCAGGAATTCTGGGAATTCACACCGATTCCAAAAATGCGCATGCAGCACAACAGGTGGCGATTACTGAACTGTGAGATAAGCGACACTGGCGGAACTGCGATAGGTGGCAATAGCGCAATCATGTCATCATTAATCAAAAATTGACCTGTGCCCTATTTGAAAATTGTCCTTTCTGCTGGCTGTTTTACTTCAGGTGTTTCTCACGATTATTTTCCGAAATTTTACTCCACATACAAGGAATAAATGTCACATAAAATATGTTCGCATTGCACGGCAACTAAGGATTCCATAAAGTGGTTCCTAAAAAGGGGGGTCAGAAAAAACGAACAACTCTAAGGCAGAACCAGTAACTCAGTAATGGAGAAAGAGCAAAGAGCCTTCAGAAATATCCTAGGGCTTCTTGCCCATGCGAGCTCACGCACTGTCACCATTCGTAATGGAAAGAGGTAGTAGCGAAAACATAGCACCATCGAAAGCCTTCAGAAACGGACGTTGGGCGTAGCGTGGAGTGGTGGGCGGAGCTCGTCTGCGCTGCGAGCAGGTGGCGTACTTAGCACACGTTATAAGCCGCGAAAGTTGCACATCCTCTTTAGTTTGTGAAGTGGACTATCTTGCCCAAAGGGAGCATCTGCACTTCGTAGACATCGCTAACGTCATGCATACGGGCATAGAAACGAAAAGACCTACGTAGGATGTCTGCTCTTGATCCTGCCTAGCTCACCTCATATTCTGCTTTTGTTCAGGAGGTAAACTGCTGGCCTCTGCAGAAAAATAACGGGCAATCCAACTTTCGTAGCGAGGCGAGATAATAGACGGCTGAGATAAGGACTTAGGGTATAAAATACCTCCCAATTTTTGTTTCTGAGCTCGTGCACGTTTTAGTCGTCACATTCTCTAATAATGGCACGCCGCACACCGAGGACTCCCCATCGCAGGGTCATTTTTGGTCGCTGGCGAGGGCAGAGGCCGTATTCGACCTGAGAATTCTTTTCTATAGTTGATTTTTTTTTGTTCGCGTGCCCTCTTCCCCTCTCAGCGAATAGTGAGGAAAAGTAGTAGCAATATGTGAAAGCAGCAAGATGGCAGGTAGGACGAGGAAAGGGTCGTACCGTAGAGAAAAATGCGGAGCGATGGGAGGGTGGGAGGGGGGGGGTCGTCACCTTGCAAGAAAGTTTTCCTGGGCGACAAGGCGTGCAGCCTGTTTCCTAATAGTCTCATTCAGTTTTTATTACAATCCAGGTTATCCTAGCCAAAAAAGGGTCACAAAAGCGCGAAACGAAACCGAATAGCACACAGTTCTTAGAAGCCTTTGAGTCGCCAATCTGCGAATTCAGTATTGCATGCTTTGAATGACAATCAGTCAAGGCTAAAAACAACATCAATGATGGACCGGGACGAAAGAAATGTGTTAGAATCGCTCTAAGCGCTTAGAAAGAACATGAACAGTAGTGCTTGATAAGCTGGTCGTAAATAAACGCTCGTGCGAAAAACGACCAGGACTTCGACAGACTTTGAACTATAGCTCCGTATATCGTAACTAAAATGCGTTACGATCGGCACTGAACACTTGGATCAGCAGCGTTTCAGATTTAAAGGTATAGAGCACGATAATTTGATACCCGGTCTGAAATGGCAGGAGGGGTGCTACAAAATGGCGAAAAGCGAAGCGAAACGGTCAAAAACCTGAAAGAAATCCTTTGTTCCATACGACTCACACAGCAATTTTGGACGAGTTTCTCTTTGGTATCGTGCCAATAACCGCTGCAGTAGACGCGGCTGCATGTATGTACTCATGTGATGCAGCACCGCAGCACATCTCAATCGCTTTTTTCACATTGTACTCCGCAAATGGAGCGAAACGAACATCTGCATAAGTCGGACATTTGTGGGTGGGTGGGCACGTTGGGCGTCCGGGTCTGTATATAGTAGCTTGATAGAGCGCTATAAGGGTACCTCCCCTCGAGAAGGCGCCACGCAGCGCCTGCTCAGAGGCACCGAATGCTGTCCTGCTTAGCGCATTAATCCTATACGTCTTGGAGATTTATCATGCCACCTGCCTTCAAGATTTCGCGCTAATAACATTAGATGGGCCCAAACCTGTGACCTTATTCAACGCGCGCCTTAGTTTTTTCTTTTGTCTTTTCAGAATCGTTCCACCCTGCAGGTCCTGTAAATTCCAGTCAAGTACCCTGTAAGCCCCTGTCAAGCGTAGCGAAATGGTACTAGCGTTATTGGAATACTGCTTCCCGACCACTCATTCCGACAAGCTTGACAGTTTACAAGGTACTTAACAGGTGATAACAAAGCTTACACGGTGCTGACAAGTTCTGCCGTATTCACATGTCAACAATTTACAGGATTAGGTATGCTGACAAGTTTACAGATGCCCCCCCCCTTTCCCTCCAGAGACTTCTGCCACTATTTTCGATGTGCGAAATCCATAACGGTGAAAACTCGCAATTCGTTCGCTAAAGGCAGAAGTGACCTCCCCTCCACCTTTTTTGAAAATTTACACAATCCAAAGACACAGATGGGTTCTACTTTATGATGCTACAAGTAAACAGAAAACAACTTCACGAACATTCAAAAACTATCAACAATGTACATGGCTCGGAATCACCGGAATCTTACATTCGCAATAACAACAACAGCTAGATACACAGAGGAAAAACCTACAAAGGAAAACAGGGGTGGTTAACATACTCTACATCTTGCCAGCTTTTACATCGTCCGCAAACTCCCTTTGATCAACGAACTTTTTGAGGAGTTGAAAAGCACTTGAGTTAGCCACATCAGCTCAGCTGGAGGCTCCTCCTTCCCACTCATGTAATAGTACAAATCCCACTCCATTATGTCACCATTGATCAGCTGAAAATATTCAAATCACCATGTTCTTGACTAACTGTCAAATTTGGGATGAGAGGGACATAAACCATGATTTACAGAGTCGCGTGAGCTCATTTGAGCCAGCAGTAGTATAATGTGAGGATGCCAAAAGCATTTGGAACTCACGGTAAAAAAATTCAGTAGTAACGCGGCAACAACATAACCTCGGCTAACACTAATATCCCACGAAATCTTCAACAACTGACCGTGTCATAAGCCTTCAGCGTTTCTCGGTCCATTTTGTTGACATATTTCTCTCCGAAGACACCGATGAGAATGTCATTTTCGAGAATACCACGTTTCTTGCTCTGGTACAATAGCCGTGCACTGAAATACAGCGTTTACGAGAAAGAGTCATAAATTCTGAATAGGCTAGTGAGTAGACTTCGGCTGCGTTCATACCTCGCGTCAGCGTAGGGCAGCGATTTGAGCGTACGCTAGCGCCGGCGACTAAGAAAGCATAGGTATCGATCCAGCGTACGTCAGCGTATCCCAGCGTCTTCGGGCAATTTGAGCATGAGCAAAACCGCCCACGAAAACGCTGGCATACGCTGGTGTACCCGAGATCTATATGTGCTCTTCCCTAGTCGCTCGAAACGCTGCAGTACGCTGAAAAGTATGACAGTAGCCTTGCGTTTCGATTCCTTCACCTTCATAATAGCCTGAAAAAGTCTAAAGGCTGGCTAAATGTCCGTCTGGGCGTGTGTGTGCGTTTTTACAAACTTCTTTGCACCCCTCACTCAATAGTGGGATTCTGATTCCTAAATATGATATAGGGTAGGACTGAAAGAGCATTTGTGAGTAACAAGGACGGAAGGTGGATTTTTCTCTAGCAAGGGAAAAAGCTCAACCATCAGAAATTCTTTGGATGCTCCTTACTAATTGGTTACTCAGCTGAGTTATTGTGTTCCAAACAGAAACGATGCATTAGGAGAGGTTTTTTGCAATCAATTCGAAAGAGGGACGGCTGTTCAAGGGTCCGAATGAATATACCCTGAACGGTGTAAGCTCTCCCTGGGTAATGCACGCGACACTTTGCCCCGGCCAAACTTGCAATACGGTCTGGATGGCTGCGAATGAAGGGGTGTGTCCTGCGGGATGAAGTTGGCGCGGCGCCAAGCCCGCACTCTATCAGCTGAAGTGGATAACCGACAAATATTGGCGGAAAGTGACTGATACAAAGGTTGCGATACAGTCGTGCCGCTTTCTCCCTTCAATAGGTGGTGGAAAACGGGTCCTGCACCGTGCCAAACCCATCGCGCAGGACATGCCACTTCATTCGCAACGAACCAGACCGTAGATAGTATAAGTAGAAGATGTAATCATGGAAAGTGCTCGAGTGGGCGAATCCCATCTGGGTTTGCACTTTGCCAGGCTCTGTGGCGAGGAAGTCAAAAAAGTCTTCCGAAAAAACGAACTTACCGCATTGTCTCCAGACTTTCTTCTGGATTCAGCTTTTGACGTCGCTGCACCACAGAAACATGCACGCGATAATGACGAGTATTTGTTGCCGTTAAGCAGCGACACAAAGCGAGTGGCGGATAAGCGGAACATTTTCTTCCTGAAAGGCTAGATGTGACCGCCAATGCCCGCCGAGCTGGTTTGTCAACTTGACGAATTAAAACGCAAAAGGAAGTGCTATGACGTAAATGACAAAGGACAGGACTCTCACCTACCGAAAGGAAGAAGCTAAGCAGACTTTGCATGAGAATAGTGAGGAAAGAAAAACAGAAACCCTCTGTGAAGCATTTCAGGAGAGTTCTCATTAAAATCCCTAATACAGACCTCAAACAGCATGACCACCTCCTCGTATGACCTCAGAAGGAGGTCGCAGCACATAAACTAACAGCTATTTCTTACAGTTGGCGATATAAAGAACCATAATCA